GTAAAACAGGAAATGCATTGGGACCATTGTTTTTGTTTACATCCCTCAAAATGGTCTATAGAAATAAACATGACTTGACCTAACTAATGAAAGTAATGCAAATAGGAAAAAATAATAATTCATAAAATGTGGTAAAACAACATCTGAAGAAGTTCTCTGCAGTGCAACATTAATCAACGTTCAACGCTAATCTAAAAAGAATTTTTCCCTTTGGTTTTTCTATTCTCGTTGCTTTCTGCTTCTTTCTGAAGCCATTGTCCTCCTCTTCCCTTATCGTCAATAGTGTCCTGCTGTGAGCCAAGCTGTACCCTCAGACATGTCAGTTGATTTCTCCGTTTGTTCATCCCGAGTCTTTAGGGAATTCTGTTCTGACATAAGGCTTTTGTCCCTGGATATCCCTGAAGTGTGGCGTTCTGGCAGGCGGCCCAACAGGAGTGCTCTTTCATTCTCTCTGTCTTTCTGCCGTCTCACTTTTCTCTGTCATTCCCCCTACCGCTGGTGTTTCTTGAGAACAAGCTCTTGGCAGTGTGCTGTAATGCTGTCTTGGCCTGTGACCAGAGAGGCACTCTGTCAACTTGCAATACAAGAGGCAGAATGTTACAGGCGCGTGCTGTTGGAGTGCCGCTTTGACAGTTCGCACGTGGAAGACTTCGCACCATTTAAATATTCTAAACTTTACTTGGCCCAAAAATTAAAGTCGGGCCATTAGTTTCCCCTTATGTGCTTTAAAGCCAAAAACAAAAGAGGGTTTAGCTTTCATTACTTTTTTTGTCAATGAGATCCACATTGAACATTCTTCAAAATGTTTGAGTAACCAGAAAAAGGAATTTGTACATGTTTTGAACTTTATGAGATGGCTAGTGTGTTCACACTTAACAGGTTTCATTTGATTCAAACAAACAATGTAGCAATTGCGCTCTTTGTGTGGTTCATTCGGTACAAATGGGAGCATTCACACTTATTCAAACACAGAAATTTGTATGGAATAGGACTATGGGGCATTTTTGCAGAGGATGGACTTTAGATTGAGACTTGACTCAAAATGACAGTATAAATGCAAAGTGAACCAGAATCAAATGTGTCTGTCTCTATTTTGATCCAGAGTTTTCCAAAAAGCGCCTTTTTTTTTTGGAAGATGGTTTGGTTCGACTGAAATGGTTTTGGTCCCTTGTGTTCAGTCTTTAAAAACAGCAGCTCGGATATAAATCTGGATTCTGTCCTTTGTGTTCATTCTTTAAAAAATAGCAGTTTGGATACAAATCTGGATGATGTGGGGACTTTGCACCATTTAAATACTCTGAACTAGACAACTGTGTTTAGGACTTGGCCCAAAAATGAATATCAGGCCATTCGTTTACCCATATGTGGTTTCAAACCTGTGTGAACACAATGGGTGGTTTATCTTATATTACTTATCGGTCAATGTCAGTGGTATCCACGTTGGACATTCTCCAAATTGTTCCTTTGAGTAGCCAGAAAAAGAAATTTGTATGTGTTTGGAACTGAATTAGATGACTTTAGTGTGTTCACACTTAACAGGTTTAATTTGCTTCAAAACATACTGAAGCAGTTGCACTCTTTGAGTAGTTTATTCGTGCAAATGGGAGCATTCACACTTAAGCCTGATTTAAACTTCTGCGTCAAGTGACCGGCGTAACCCACGACGCATGCAACGTGCGTGGCTGTGCATTTTTACTTCTGTGCGCTGTCTCTGTTGGTCTGCATTAACACTTCCGAAACGCTAGTTGGCAGTGAGGTGTAAATGTTCGTCTGTGTCGAGTTTCTTCGCTGCTTTTTGCTTTACCTGAACACTTACGGGATGTACAAGTGGCTCAAACTTGCTCATTTTGAGGCAGGAACCGGCGGACGTGCAACAATTTTAACTATGAGGTAAACACAAAACAAAACTTTCCATCCGGAGCTCCTTCACGGAACTCCACACTTGTAAACAATCGCTCCATCAGGCTCGCACCATTCACGCGGCTCTCGGTCCTGCCCAGACTCATCAGCGCTACCAAGCCGACCAATCACAGAGCTTGCGCTACGCGTCGTTGCGACGTGTAGTTACATTTTTTGAGCCAAGGGCTATTCGTCAGCGCCATTGCATACGCCAGCGTTTGACGCATAAGTATAAATCAGCCTTTATTCAGACACAACCGCACAGGAATTTGTATAGAATTGGACTACAGTGCATTTTTGCAGCTGCGGGACTGTAGATTCAGACTTGACTCAAAATGACAGGATGAATGAAAGTGAACTAGAATCAACTGGGTCCGATTCTATTTTGATCCAGAGTTTTCCAAAAAGCTCAATTTTCATGAAACACTTCAAAAGGAAACTCTGTTGTGGTTTGACTGAAATAGTTTTGGTCCCTTATGTTCAGTCTTTAAAAATAGCATGGATACAAAAAAAAATAGTACGGAGACAAATCTGGATAATGTTTTAATTTAGGGGGTTGTTGTTTTAAGATTTTCACACTGAACGGATAAGCTTCAGTCAA